CCGGCCTGGGCGACGGCGTGGGAGCCATCGGCCTGGCGGTCAGCGCCGGCTGCGGCCTCGGAGCCGACGTGGGCCTCGGACACGGCGCTGCGGCCGCCGCTGACCCCGGCCTGGGGCCTGGCCTCGGACACGGCCTGGCAGCCAACGCCCCGGCCACCGTTGACCCTGGACTTGGAGCCGCCATCGGACACGGCCTTGGGGCCACCACCGCGGCCACCATCGACCCCGACCTCGGGACCGCCATCGGACACGGCCTTGGGGCCACCGCCGCGGCCACCGCTGACCCCGGCCTGGGAGCCGCCATCGGACACGGCCTGGGAGCCAACGCCACGGCCGCCATTGATCCTGGGCGCCATCAGGGCCAGCGTGGGGCTGGGCATCGCCCCGGACATCGGAGTGACCGTCGGCGCCGGGCCCGCGGCCGGGCTCGCCCTGGGAGCCGCGCTGGGAGCCGGCGCGGGATCGACTCTGCCGTCCGGTGCCAGCCCCGGCCTCGGACAGAGCCCGGGAATGGGACAGAGCCCGGGAATGGGACAGAGCCATGGACTGGGACAGAACCATGGACTGGGACAGAACCCGGGAATGGGACAGAACCCGGGAATGGGACACAACGCCGGCCTCGGACACAGCTCTGGACTCGGACACAACACTGGCCTTGGACAAAACCCCGGCCTTGGACAAAACCCCGGCCTTGGACAAAACTCTGGCCTTGGACACAACGCCGGCCTTGGACAAAACCCCGGCCTTGGACAAAACTCTGGACTCGGACACAACGCCGGCCTTGGACACAACGCCGGCCTCGGACAGAACCCTGGAATGGGACACAACTCCGGCCTTGGACACAGCTCTGGGCTCGGACAGAATCCTGGCCTTGGACAAAATGCCGGCCTCGGACAAAACCCTGGCCTTGTACAAAACGCTGGCCTCGGACACAACGCCGGCCTTGGACAGAGCTCCGGCCTCGGACAGAGCCCCGGCCTAGGACACAACTCTGGACTTGGACAGAACCCCGGCCTTGTACAAAATCCTGGCCTTGGGCACAACTCTGGCCTCGGCCACAACGCCGGCCTCGGACAGAGCCCCGGCCTCGGCCACAACGCCAGCCTCGCCGTCGGCTCCGGCCTGGGCTCCGCCGTGGGCCTGGCGGCCGGAGCGGCGCTGGGCCCCGAGCTGTTGGGGTTTTTTGGGGAAGTTTTGGGTCAGTTTTGGGTCAGTTTTTGCTTTTTTATGCAGTTCTTTTGTGGTTTTGTGGCAGTTTTTTTATTTTTCCTGCAGTTTTTTTGTGGTTTTGGGTCAGTTTTTTCCTTTTTTAATGCAGTTTTTTTGTGTTTTTGGGTCAGTTTTTTGCTTTCTTTGTGTTTTTGGGTCAGTTTTTTTATTTTTCACGCAGTTTTTTTGCGGTTTTGGGTCAATTTTTTCCTTTTTTTGCCAAGTTTTTTCCAGCTCCATCATTTCAAACCAGAATGGATTTATGGAATTTCATCCTCCTGCAGGGAGTTTTTTGCTTTCTTTGTGTTTTTGGGTCAGTTTTTTTATTTTTCACGCAGTTTTTTTGCGGTTTTGGTTCAGTTTTCTCCTCTTTTTTCTTTTGCAGCCGGAAGCCAGCGCGCCCCGTCGTTCTGAACTAAGTCTGTGACGCGACTTGCCCCCAGTATGGCATATTGTCATTGTCACCCCGGCCCGGGCCAGCGTCCCCCCGGCCCCTCCCCCAACCCAAAAATTGTGTCCTCCCCTCCCCCTCCCCGGGGGTGTCACCCTCAATGTCCCCGACGCGGGGGACCGAGGCACGATGTGGCTTGATGTCCCCGGTGTCCCCAATGTCCCCAAATGTCCCCAATGTCCCCAACGATGTCTCAAAAATGTCCCCAATGATGTCCCCAAATAATGTCCTCAATGTCCCCAACGATGTCCCCGGTGTCCCCAACGATGACGATGACCCAAATGTCCCCAACGATGTCCCCAATGTCCCCAACGTCCCCCACACCCTCCAAGGGACATCCTGGCCTGATGTCCCCAACGTCCCCAACATGAGGGGCTGAGACACGCCGTGACTCGGAGTCCCCCATGTCCCCAATGTCCCCAACCATGTCCCAACGATGTCCCCAATGATGTCCCCAATGTCCCCAACCGTGTCCCCAATGTCCCCAATGTCCCCAACGATGTCCCCAACGATGTCCCCAATGTCCCAAACGATGTCCCCAATGTCCCCAATGTCCCCAACCATGTCCCAACAATGACCCCAACGATGTCCCCAATGTCCCCAACGATGTTCCCAACGATGTCCCCAATTATGTCCTCAACCATGTCCCCAACGATGTCCCCAATGTCCCCAACGATGTTCCCAACGATGTCCCCAACGAGGATTTGGGGGTAATCTGGGGGGATTTGGGGAATTTGGGAGAGATTTGGGGGAATTTGGGGAATTTGGAGGGAATTTGGGAGGATTTAGGGAGGATTTGAGGGGATTTGGGGGTAATCTGGGGGGATTTGGGGAGATTTGGGGGTCCCGCCGGAACCGCCAGGCCCCGCCCCCAGCGCACAAACCACGCCCACAAATCCGAAACCACGCCCCCTAGCGATGAAACCACGCCAATTCAAGCCGCCCGATCTAATCTGCATAACCCCGCCCCTTTGCGTCCGAGACCCCGCCTCCCGGGCCCCGCGCATGCGCAGCTGCTCCCGGCGCCGGCGCAGGGCGGTGAGTCCCGGGCTGGTCCCAGCGACCCCAAACTGGGACCGGCGACCCCAAACCGGGACCGGCGACCCCGGACCGGTCCCGATCCCCCCGGAGCTGGGTCCGGACCCTGCCCCCACCTCCCGGACCGGTCCTGGCTCCGCGTGACCCCCGGAATCCCCCCAGTGTCCCCCAGTCCCTCCCAGTGCAGCCCTCTGACCCCTCCCAGTGACCCCCAGTAGCTCCCAGTGACCCCCAATCCCCTCCCCCAGTCCCCCCCAGTCCGGGGGGTCCTGGACGCCTCGGGGTCTTTCCGGGTGTACTGGGACGTGCTGGGAGCCCCCCCGGGCTGGGCCCGCGACCCCCGGCCCGAGCTGGTGCTGGCCACGCACGGCAGCCCCGGGCGGGCGGCGGCGGCGCTGGGGGGGTCCTGGGGGGGCCCCCTGTCCCTGGCGGTTTTTGGGGAGCCCCGCGGGGGTCTTCAGCAGCTGATGGAGGTTCTGGGGGGGCCCTGCCGCGCTCTGCGGGCTCGCCTCAGGCTGCAGGTGGTGCAGGGGGCGGCGGGACCCCCGCCCAAATTCCCCGCCCGCACGCAGCAACCAGCGGGAGCCCCCCGAAAAGCCGGGGGGTGTCGGGGGGCTCTGGCCAGGCTGGCGGCCGCCGACCCCCCCAGTTACACTTTGGGGGTGCCGTACCCCGGGAATCTGCTGAGGAACGTGGCCTGGGAAGGGGCGGCCGGGGGGGGCCCCGGCGCGGGACCCCCGCCCAAATTGGGGGGGCGCTTCGTGCTGATGGTGGACGCGGACGTGGTGCCGAGCCCGGGGCTGCGCGAGGGGTTCCTGCAGCTGCTGCGGGACGGGGGGCTGGACCCCCGGAACTGGGGGGGACAGGACCCCCAAAACCGGGGGGGACAGGGGGGGATGGAGCCCCAAAACCAGGGGGGACAGGACCCCCAAAACCGCGGGGGACAGGGGGGGATGGAGCCCCAAAACCAGGGGGGACAGGAGCCCCGAAATCGGGGGGGACAGGGAGGACAGGACCCCCAAAACCGGGGAGGTCAGGACCCCCAAAACTGGGGCAGACAGGGGGGCCTGGAGCCCCAGAACTGGGGGGGACAGGGGACACTGGGGGACCCCAAAGCTCCGGGGGCTCAGAGGGATTTGGGGTCTCAGGGGGATTTGGGGAACCCCAAAATTTTGGGGGATCCCAGTAGGCTGGGGGTCCCCAATGTCCCGGGGGTCCCCAATGTCCCAAAGAACCCCAAAAGTTTATTGGACCCCAAAGGGGGTGTCCAGGCCCTGAGTGACCCCAAAACCCTGAATGACCCCAAAGCTCTGAGTGACCCCAAAACCCTGAGTGACCCCAAAACCCTGAGTGACCCCAAAGCTCTGAGTGACCCCAAAACCCTGAGTGACCCCAAAACCCTGAGTGACCCCAATGCTCTGAGTGACCCCAAAGCTCTGAGTGACCCCAAGGCCCTGAGTGACCCCAACGCCCAGAGTGACCACAATGCTCTCAATGACCCCAATGCCCTGAGTGACCCCAAAACCCCGAGCGCCCCCCACTCCTCGTCCCCCCCCTGGGCTCGGGCTCTCTTTGTGCTGCCGGCCTTCGAGCTGCGGGGGTCCCGGGCCCCCCCGGCCTCCAAGGCGGAGCTGCTGCGGCTGTGGGGGGCAGGCGAGGCCCGCCCGTTCTACGGGGCGCTGTGCCCCCGCTGCCAGGAGCCCACCGCCTTCGGCCGCTGGCGGGCGCTGCCCCCCGGGCCCCCCGGGCCCCCCCGGCTGCGCGTGGCCTACGAGGTGCCCTGGAGGGACCCCTGGGAACCTTTCTTCGTGGCCCCCGCCCGCGGCGTGCCCCCCTTCGACGAGGGCTTCCTGCAGTACGGCTTCAACCGCATCAGCCAGGGCTTGGAATGGCCATGGTGGCCTTGGGGTGACCTTGGAATGGTCATGGTGGTCTTGAGGTGACCGCGGAGGTGTTGGGGTGGTCCTGGTGGTCTTGGGGTGGGCATGGTGGCCTTGGGGGTCCTGGGGTGGTCATGGTGGTCTTGGGATGGCCTTTGGGGTCATGGGGTGACCATGGTGGTCTTGGGGTGGTCTTGGGGTGACCATGGGGGCTCCTGGGGTGATCATGGTGGTCTTGGGGTGGTCATGGGGGTCTTTGGGTGACCGTGGGGGTTGTGGGGTGAGCATGGTGGTCTTGGGGTGGTCTTGAGGTGACCATGGTGGTGTTGGGGTGGCCCTGGTGGTCTTAGGGTGACCATGGGGGTCTTGGGGTGACCATGGAGCCTGGGCTCTCTGGGGGGGTCTCTGATGGGTCTGGGGGGTCCCTGGTGTCTCTGGGGGTCCCCGGGCTCCCCGGGGTCCCGTTGTGACCCCCGCGCCCCCCCAGGCCTGCGAGCTGCACGTGGCCGGGTTCCGCTTCGCCGTGCTGGACGGGGCCTTCGTCACCCACCGGGGCTGGAAGGAGCCGGGCCGGTTCCACCGCGGCCGCGAGGCCGAGCTGGGCCGCAACCGGCGCCGCTACCGCGAGTTCCGCCAGGGGCTGAGGGCGCGGTACCCGGGGAGCGCCCGCCGCTGCTGACACACCTGGGACACACCTGGGACACACCTGGGACAGAGCTGGGCCGCAACCAGCGCCGCTACCGCGAGTTCCGCCAGGGGCTCCGGCTGCGGTACCCGGGGAGCGCCCGCCGCTGCTGAGACACCTGGGACACACCTGGGACACACCTGGGACACCTGGGGACACCTGGGACACACCTGGGACAGCTGGGGACAGCTGGGACAGGTGGGGACACACCTGGGACACACCTGGGCCAGAGCTGGGCCGGAACCGGCGCCGCTACCGCGAGTTCCGCCAGGGGCTCCGGCTGCGGTACCCGGGGAGCGCCCGCCGCTGCTGAGACACCTGGGACACACCTGGGGACACCAGGAAACCTCCCAATGGACACCTGGGACACACCTGGGCCGAGCTGGGCCGGAACCGGCGCCGCTACCGCGAGTTCCGCGAGGGGCTCCGAGCGCGGTACCCGGGGAGCGCCCGCCGCTGCTGAGACACCTGGGACACACCTGGGACACACCTGGGGACACCAGGAAACCTCCCAATGGACACCTGGGACACACCTGGGCCGAGCTGGGCCGGAACCGGCGCCGCTACCGCGAGTTCCGCGAGGGGCTCCGGCTGCGGTACCCGGGGAGCGCCCGCCGCTGCTGACACACCTGGGACACACCTGGGACACACCTGGGACACCTGGGGACACCTGGGACACACCTGGGACAGCTGGGACACACCTGGGACAGAGCTGGGCCGGAACCGGCGCCGCTACCGCGAGTTCCGCGAGGGGCTGAGGCTGCGGTACCCGGGGAGCGCCCGCCGCTGCTGAGACACCTGGGACACACCTGGGACACACCTGGGACAGCTGGGACACACCTGGGACAGCTGGGACACACCTGGGACACACCCGAGACACACCTGGGACAGCTGGGGACACCAGGAAACCTCCCAACGGACACCTGGGACAGCGAGGACACACCTGAGATACACCTGGGGACAGCTGGGATACACCTGGGACACATGGAGACACACTTGGGACAGCTGGGAACCTCCCAATGGACACCTGGGGACACCTGAGACACACCTGGGAACCCCGCAATGGACACGTGAAGGACCTGCCGTGAACACCGGGAGGGGCCCTGAAATTCTAGCCGGGGGGAGGGGACAGAACCCCAAAATTTGGGTGAGGGGGAGGGGTGTGACCCCCAAATCCAGCGGGAGGATCGGATTTGAGGGAAAATCCCCCAAAGTGAGCTCGAAAAAAGGACCCAAAAAGCGCCAAACTCGCGGTTAATAAAGATTTTATTTGCATTTTCCACCCTGCTTTTTCTCCCGTTAATTCGCGTTAAAGTGCTGCAAAGGGAAAAGGTGACACCTGGCACAGCGGGGGACACACCTGGGACACCTGGGGGCCTTCAAATGGACATGAGGGGTCACCTGGCACACCTGGGTGCCCCCCCGGACGTGGCGGTGACCGTCCCTCAGTAAATTCGGCCGCCTACCCATGATGCCTCGGTGCGGGTGATGTCATGGGGGCGGGGCGAGCAGCTGCCTCCGGTACGGACCGGTAACGTCCAGTACGGACCGGTAACGCCCGGGGCACGAGGCGGAGACCCCGCCCGAGTTGTTTGTCACGACAAACTACAGCTCCCAGCATGCATCGGGCGCCAACATGGCCGAACTTCCGCCCTTTTTAAAAAAAACGACAGCTCCCAGCATGCATCGGGCGCCAACATGGCCGAACTTCCGCCTTTTTTAAAAAAAAAACGACAGCTCCCAGGATGCATCGGGCGCCAACATGGCCGAACTTCCGCCCTTTTTTAAAAAAACCGACCGCTCCCAGGATGCATCGGGCGCCAACATGGCCGAACTTCCGCCCTTTTTTAAAAAAACCGACCGCTCCCAGGATGCATCGGGCACCAACATGGCCGAACTTCCCCCCTTTTTAAAAAAACCGACAGCTCCCAGGATGCATCGTGTGCCAACATGGCCGCCAAGCCACTTCCGGTTTTACCTTTGAATTTGAACTACAGTTCCCATCATGCGTCAGAAGAAGCACGTGGCCGGAAGTGCTGGTCATTTGAGCGACTACAGCTCCCGTCGTGCACCAGGGCGAACATGGCCGACTTCCGGTCTCGCCTCGCGCTCAACAGGGCCGGGAAGGCGCAGCAGCGCCCCCTGGCGGGCGGGAGGAAAGTGCTGCAAAGGGAAAAGGTTTCTTCCATTTTTTTTGGGGGGGGGGGATTTTATTTTAATTTTTATTTTTTTTAATTTAATTTATTTCAACTTCCCCTAAAAAATCCTCCCAAACAAAACTTTTTTATCCCGGACTCCCGACGCACCTTTGGGGTTAAACGAGAGGGAAACGGGGGCTTTTTATCAAATTATAATACAAAGGATGTAACAAAACCCACCAAAAAACGGCCAGAAAACAGATTGAAAATTAAAAAAAAAAAAGGAAAATAAAATGTAAAAAAAGGTTAAAAAAGGAAAAACCTCGGATTGAATTTCCAGCCCAGGGGACGACGCTGGCTCGGAGGTCACAGCTGAGGGTTTTTGGTTTGGTTTTAGTGATAAATCCAAGCTTTTGGTTTATTTTTGGTAGTAAATCCATGGGTTTGGTTTGTTTTAGGAATAAATCCGTGGTTTGGGTTAATTTTATAAATAAATCCTTTTTTTTTTTGGTTTATTCTACTCAATAAATTCATATTTTTTGGTTTATTCTGCTCAATAAATTCGTATTTTTTGGTTTATTCTACTCAATAAATTCATATTTTTTGTTTATTTTTCTCAATAAGTTCATATTTTTTGGTTTATTCTGCTCAATAAATTCGTATTTTTTGTTTATTTCTTTGGCTAAATCGATTTAATTTTATTTTTTAATTGTTCCCCTTTGGTTGATTTTCCCAACAGACCCAATTTTGTCTCTGTCACTTCTTTTATTTAATTTATTTTGATATTCATTTCTTCAATAAATTTTTTTTAAATGGATCTACATTTTAACTTTGGTTGGTTTTATTAATTCCACTTTCTTCTTTTTTTAGTAAATCCATATTTTTGCTTTGGTTTTTAACATATCCACAGCTTTGGTTAATTTTTTTTTTTAATAAATCCACAGTTTTGGTTGTTTTTTATATAAAAAACCTCATGTTTTTTAAATAAAAAAATCTACACTTTTGGTTTCATTTCTTTCACAAACCAAATAACCCAAAATTTTGAATAAATCCACTGACCCAGCAGAACCTGAGGCCCTGCAGAAAATAAAAAAAAAACAAAAAAAAAGGCCAAAAATAAAGTTAAAAACTGAGGGGAAGGAGAAAAAAAAAAAAAACCCAAAAAGACCAAAAAAAAAAATTTAATTTCCACGAACCAAACACTGAAAATATTTCGGGAGAGGGAGGAGGGAGAAAAAAAAAAACCAAAAACAACAAACAGGGGACACAAAATAAACCCCAATAAAAATATCAAAAAAAGATAAATTGGGAGAGAAGAAGTGAAAGCTCTCGGCACAGGGGGGGACCCCAAAAATCCGGGGGGAGGGACCCCCAGCCCCTCCCCCCCTCTGTACACGCGGGGGTCCCTCGGTCCAGGCCTATGTACAACCCCCCTGGCGGTCACTCTTTGGCCACCCCGGGGTCACTCTTTGGCCACCCCGGGGTCACTCTTCGGCCACCCCGCGGTCACTCCTTGCGCTTGGCCACCGCCAGCTCCAGGCCGGGCACTCGGACCGCGGCGCGGGCCACGCCCTCGGAGGAGGACGAGGAGGACAGGCGGGATTTGGGGGACCCCGGCGCCCGCCCCCCGTCCTCGGGCACGGCCGTCACCTCGTAGCAGCCCTTGGCCTTGGAGCCGATGCCCCCGAAGGTCCCGAATTTGCCCTTGGGCTGCCGGCCGGCCTCGGGCTCGGCCGCGTGCTCGTCGCTGAAGGACGACGAGCGCGGCCGCGGTTTCTTGCTGCGGAACAGCGAGAACTTGGCCTTGGCCGCCGGCGCCTCGGCCTCCGGCTCGCCCTCGGCCGGGCCCAGGCTGGATTTGGAGCTCTTGAGGTCGCCCTTGGAGCCGGACACCGAGCCGGACGCCGCCTCGGGGGACGCCGGCGTGGCTCCGCCGCCGGCGCGGCCTTTCTGCTTGGAGAAGTTGAATTTGGGCATCTTGAGCTTGGATTTCTTCAGCCGAGCCTCGGCCTCGTCCGGCTCCGGCTCGGCCGCCTCGGGGAAGTCGACGTCCACCCCGACCTCGCGGCACTTGGCCTCGGGCTCGGAGAAGACGAATTTGGGCATCCGCAGCTTGGGGAAGGAGACTTTGACCTGGCCGCCCTCGGCGCCCGCCTTGGGGCAGGAGGCGTGGAAGGTTCCGGAAGCGGCGCCGACCGACGGCGGCGTCGCCTCGGCCCCGCCTTTCACCTTCGGCCCTTTCACGTTGACGTTCAACCCCGAGCCGGACACTTCCAAGGCTGGAGCCTCCAGGTGGACGCCCACCCCTTCCACGCTGACCTTTGACCCTTTGATGTCACCGGCCGCGCCCACGTTTGGTCCTTTCAGCCTCAGGTCGACTTCCGGCGTGGAGAATTTCGGCCCTTTCAGCTCCACCTCGGGGCCTTCCAGCCCCAAACCGGAGCCCTTCAGCCCCCCCTTGAGCTGGGGGCCCTCCAGGGTGACCCCCGCGTCCCCCCCGTCCACGCCGGGGCTGGAGATGCTGAACTGGGGCAGCTTCAGGGACGGGAGCTTGATGGTGCCCCCCAAAATTTCCAAGCCGGAGTCGTCCGCCGACACCTGGGGGGATTTGACGCCGACGTCTCCTTTCAACTTTGGTCCTTTCGCGTTGACATCCAAATCCAGGCCGGGGACGTCCATCGAGGGCCCCTGGAGGTCCAGGGTGACCCCCGGGGACTGGACGGAGCAGGGGACGCCCCCCTGGACCTCCAGCGTCGGGGACTTCACAGCGGGCAGCTTCACCTTGCCCCCGAGGCCGCCGAGGTCCAGGCCGGGCGCGTCCACCGAGCCCGAAATGTCCAAATCTCCCTTTAATTTTGGTCCTTTCAGGTTCCCCTCCAACTCAGGTCTGGAGATCTGGGGCCCTTTGAGCTTCACGTCCACCTCCGAGCTCACGTCCGGCATTTCCAGCCCCAAACCCGTTTTCCCCCCCTTGGGCCATCCCAGGTTCACCTCGGGACCTTCCAGTTGTGCTCCGGCAATGCCAACTTCACCTTTTACTTTTGGTCCTTTCACGCTGACGTCCGGTGCCGCGGCCGAGGGGACGGTGACGTCCATCCCGGCGGGGCCCTTCAGGTCCCCCCCGATTTTCACGTCCCCCGTGCCCACCTGGACCCCGGGGAGTTTGAATTTCGGGCTCTTCAGGTTCACCTCAGGACCTTCAAGATCCGCGTTGAGGCTCGGGCCCTTGAGGTCGCCCTTGACCTCCAGATCGCCCTCGACTTTCGGGACCCCCACCGAGGCCTCCCCACGGAATTTGTGCGATTTCAGGTCGAATTCGACGTCCGGGAAGGAGATCTTCCCAAACATGGGTTTCTTGCCTTTGGGGGACTTCATGGCGGCGTTGCCCCCGATGGTGACGTCGGGGCTGGGGACGTTGAGCTCCACGTCCAGCTCGGCCCCCGCCGCGTTCACGTCGAAGGCGCCCTTCTTGCCCTTCACTTTGGGGCCGCTCATGTGGATTTTGGGCATCTTGAACTTGCTCTTCTTGCCCTTCCCGGACAGGTGGGCCTCAGGTGACTCCACGTTCAGCTCCGCCTCAGGTAAATCCACCTCCGCCTTGGGGCTTTTCATTCCGAACCCAAATTTGGACTTTTTAAACTTGGGAACTTTGATGTTGGCTTCTGGGACCTCGACGTTCAGGTCAGGACACTCAACGTCAACTTCAGGGCCTTTGACTCCGAATTCTGGGCCTTTGAGGTCGACCTCGGGGCCTTTCAGGTGACCTTCCACCTTTGGGGTGGAAATGTCAAAGCCGCCCTTGGTTTTGTGGCCTTTCAGGTTCAAGTCTATCTCGGGCATGGAGATTTTGGGGACGTTCACGTGCATTTCGGGCATTTTCACTTTAGGACCTTTCACTTTGCCCTCCAGACCTTCAACGTTGACCTCTGGCAGGCTGACATCAACCTTGGGGCCTGACAGATCCACCTCGGCCTTCGGCAAGTCCACGTCCACGTCGGGACCTTCGCCCTTCAAGCCAAATTTGGGCATTTTCATTTTGGGCAGCTTCACTTTCCCCTCCAGACCGTCAACGTCGAACGCCGGGCCCTCAACGTCGACTTTGGGGCCTTTGATGTCGACCTCGGGGCCCTTCAGACCCCCCTCGAGCTTGGGGCCGTGCAGGTCACCTTTGACCTTCAGGCCCTTCAGGTTCAGGTCGATGTCGGGCATGGAGATCTGGGGGGTCTTGACGTGAATTTCGGGCATCTTGACCTTGGGCCCTTCCAGGGTCACGTCCGGCGCCTGAATGTCCACTCTGGGGCCCTTGAGGTCGACATCTGGGCACTGCAGGTTCCCCTCCAGCTTGGGGACGGAGACATCAGGTCTTGACGTGAATTTCGGGCATCTTGACCTTGGGCCCTTCCAGGGTCACGTCCGGCGCCTGAATGTCCACTCTGGGGCCCTTGAGGTCGACATCTGGGCACTGCAGGTTCCCCTCCAGCTTGGGGATGGAGACATCGATGTCACCCTTGACTTTGGGGCCCTTCAGGTTGAAGTCAACGTCGGGCATGGAGATTTTGGGGGCCTTGATGTTCATCTCGGGCATCTTGAACTTGGGGCCTTTGATCTTCCCCTCAGGACCTTCCAACTCAACACCAGGGAGGTCAACATCGACTTTGGGGCCTTTGATGTCAATTTCGGGACCTTTCAGGTCTCCCTCAAGCTTTGGGACAGAGACATCGACATCCCCCTTCAGTTTGGGGCCCTTCAGGTTGAAATCGACGTCGGGCATGGAGATCTTGGGGGCCTTGATGTGCATCTCAGGCATGGAAAATTTGGGACCTTTGACTTTGCCGTCGACGCTCAGCTCAGGAGCCTCCACGTCCACGCTGGGGCCTGAAATGGACACGTCACCCTTGGGGAGGGTCAGGTCCGCGTCCACCCCGTCCCCTTTGAATCCAGGCATGGAGAATTTGGGCATCTTGAACTTGGGAAGCTTCAATTTGCCCTCGGGGCCGTCGATGCTGACATCGGGGGCGGTGACGTTGACCTCGGGACCTTTCAGCTCTCCTTCCACACTGGGCAGGGACACGTCCACGTCACCTTTGACCTTGGGGCCCTTCAGGTTCAGGTCGAGGTCGGGCATGGAGATCTTGGGGGCCTTGATGTGCATCTCGGGCATCTTGAACTTGGGACCCTTCACCTTCCCCTCTGGCAGCTCCACGTCCACCTCTGGACCTTCAATGTCCACCTTGGGACCGGACAGATCCAGGTTTCCTGTCGAGAGGTTCACGTCCACCTCGGGGCCTTCTGCCTTGACCCCGGGCATCCCAAATTTGGGCATCTTGAACTTGGGGAACTTTATTTTTCCTTCTGGGCCGTGAATGTCCACATCGGGCGCTTCAATGTCCACTTTGGGGCCCTTGATGTCCAGTTCAGGCCCCTTGATGTCACCTTCCAGTTTGGGGACAGAGACGTCGATGTCCCCCTTGACTTTGGGGCCCTTCAGGCTGAAGTCAACATCGGGCATGGAGATTTTTGGGGTCTTAAAATGCATCTCAGGCATCTTGAACTTGGGGCCTTTGATCTTCCCCTCTGGGAGGTCAATGTCCACCTCTGGGCCTTCAATGTCCACCTTGGGGCCGGACACATCCAGGTCTCCTTTACGTCCACGTCAGGCCCTTCAATGTCCACCTTGGGGCCAGACACATCCAGGTCTCCTTTTGGGAGGTTCACGTCCACCTCGGGGCCTTCTCCCTTCATCCCAAATTTGGGCATTTTGAACTTGGGCATCTTGAATTTTCCTTCTGGACCATGAATGTCCACGTCTGGCACATCAACGTCCACTTTGGGGCCCTTGATGTCGATTTCGGGGCCCTTCAGGTCACCCTCCAGCTTTGGAAGAGACACGTCCACATCGCCCTTGACTTTGGGGCCTTTGAGGTTGAAGTCAACGTCGGGCATGGAGATTTTGGGGGCCTTGATGTTCATCTCGGGCATCTTGAACTTGGGGCCTTTGATCTTCCCCTCGGGACCTTCCAACTCAACGTCAGGGAGATCAACATCCACTTTGGGGCCTTTGATGTCGATCTCTGGGGCTTTCAGGTCCCCTTCCACTTTGGGGACAGACACATCAACGTCTCCCTTTAATTTGGGGCCCTTCAGGTTCAGATCAAAGTCGGGCATGGAGATTTTGGGGGCCTTGATGTTCATCTCGGGCATCTTGAACTTGGGGCCTTTGATTTTCCCCTCAGGGCCCTCGATTTGAACATCTGGAGCAGAAACATCAAATTCGGGGCCTTTCACGTCCACCTTTGGCCCTTTCAGGTCTCCTTCCACGCTTGGCAGTGACACGTCCACGTCTCCCTTGACTTTGGGGCCCTTCAGGTTCAGATCAAAGTCAGGCATGGAGATTTTAGGGGCCTTGATGTGCATCTCAGGCATCTTGAACTTGGGGCCTTTGATCTTCCCCTCGGGACCTTCCAGCTCAACATCGGGGAGATCAACATCCACTTTAGGGCCTTTGATGTCGATGTCTGGGGCTTTCAGGTCCCCTTCCACTTTGGGAAGGGAAACATCAACATCCCCCTTCAGTTTGGGGCCCTTCAGGTTCAGGTCGATGTCGGGCATGGAGATCTTGGGGGTCTTGAAATGCATCTCGGGCATCTTGAACTTGGGGCCTTTGATCTTCCCCTCTGGCAGCTCCACGTCCACGTCAGGCCCTTCAATGTCCACCTTGGGGCCAGACACATCCAGGTCTCCTTTTGGGAGGTTCACGTCCACCTCGGGGCCTTCTCCCTTCATCCCAAATTTGGGCATTTTGAACTTGGGCATCTTGAATTTTCCTTCTGGACCATGAATGTCCACGTCTGGCACATCAACGTCCACTTTGGGGCCCTTGATGTCGATTTCGGGGCCCTTCAGGTCACCCTCCAGCTTTGGAGCAGAAACATCGATGTCACCCTTGACTTTGGGGCCTTTGAGGTTGAAGTCAACGTCGGGCATGGAGATCTTGGGGGCCTTGATGTGCATCTCGGGCATCTTGAACTTGGGGCCTTTGATCTTCCCCTCAGGCCCTTCAATGTCCACCTCTGGACCTTCAATGTCCACCTTGGGGCCTTTGATGTCGACGTCCGGCAAGCTCAGGTCCCCTTCGATTTTTGGTGCGGACACATCGACGTCCACCCCCCCTTTGACCTTGGGGCCTTTCAGGTTGAGGTCCAGCTCCGGCATGGAGAGGTTGGGAGCTTTGATGTTCATCTCGGGCATTTTAAATTTGGGGCCTTTGATTTTCCCTTTCGGACCTTCGACGTCGATGTCGGGAACTTCCACGTCCACCTTGGGTCCTTTCAGGTCCACCTGGGGCAGGGACACGTCCACGTCCCCCTTCACTTTGGGGCCCTTCAGGTTGAGGTCGATGTCGGGCATGGAGATTTTGGGGGCCTTGATGTTCATCTCGGGCATCTTAAACTTGGGGCCTTTGATCTTCCCTTCCGGCCCCTCAATGTCCACCTCCGGACCTTCAATGTCCACTTTCGGACCGGACACATCCAGTTCTCCTGTCGGCAGGTTCACATCCACCTCTGGCCCCTCCCCTTTAAACCCAGGAACCCCAAATTTGGGCATTTTGAACTTGGGCATTTTGATTTTCCCTTCTGGGCCGTGAACATCCACGTCGGGGGCCTCGATGTTGACCTTCGGGCCCTTGATGTCCACCTCAGGCGCTTTCAGCTCCCCTTCCAGTTTGGGGGTGGACAGGTCAAACTCCCCCTTCATTTTGTGCCCCTTCAGGTTCAGCTCCACGTCCGGCATCGAGACTTTGGGTGAAGAAATGTTCAGAAAAGGCATTTTGAATTTGGAACCCTTGGATTTTCCCTGGATATCCAAATCCGGAGCCTGGACCTCGACTTTCGGTCCGGACAGTTCCACCTCAGGCTTTTTCAGCTTCACATCCACCTCGGGGCTTTGAACTTTGGGGCCAGAAAAGCCAAACTTGGGAAGTTTAAACCTGGATTTTTTAGCTTTTCCTTCGAGGTCAACCTTTGGCCCCTCCAGCTCAAGCTCCGGCCCCTTGATGTCCACTTTTGGGCCTTTCAGCTCGCCCTCGACCTTGGGAAGAGAAGCATCGAGGTCACCTTTGATTTTGGGGCCTTTCAGGTTCAGGTCGATGTCGGGCATGGAGATCTTGGGGACATTGAACTGCAGCTCCGGCTTCTTGAACTTGGGGCCCTTCAATTTCCCTTCGGGGCCTTCAACGTCCAGGTCGGGGACAGAAACGTCGACTTTTGGACCCGAAATGTTGACCTCGGCCTCGGGGAGGTTCACATCCAGGTCGGGGCCTTCCACTTTGGGCCCAGAAAAGCCGAATTTGGGCATTTTGAACTTGGGCATTTTAACTTTCCCTTCTGGGCCGTGAATGTCCACGTCGGGTGCTTCAATGTCCACTTTGGGCCCTTTGATGTCCAGTTCAGGCCCTTTCAGGTCACCTTCCAGTTTAGGGACAGAGACGTCGATGTCACCCTTGACTTTGGGGCCCTTCAGGCTGAAGTCAACATCGGGCATGGAGATTTTGGGGGCCTTGATGTGCATCTCAGGCATCTTGAACTTGGGGCCTTTGATCTTCCCCTCGGGACCTTCCAATTCAACATCAGGGAGATCAACATCCACTTTGGGGCCTTTGATGTCGATTTCGGGACCTTTCAGGTCTCCCTCAACCTTTGGAAGGGACACGTCCACGTCTCCCTTCAGTTTGGGGCTTTTGAGGTTGAAGTCAACGTCGGGCATGGAGATCTTGGGGGCCTTGATGTGCATCTCGGGCATCTTGAACTTGGGACCTTTGATCTTCCCCTCTGGCAGCTCTACGTCCACCTCTGGCCCTTCAATGTCCACCTTGGGGCCAGACACATCCAGGTTTCCTGTCGAGAGGTTCACGTCCACATGTCCAGTTCAGGCCCCTTGATGTCACCTTCCAGTTTAGGGACAGAGACGTCGATGTCCCCCTTGACTTTGGGGCCCTTCAGGCTGAAATCAACATCAGGCATGGAGAACTTGGGGGCCTTGATGTGCATTTCGGGCATCTTGAACTTGGGGCCTTTGATCTTCCCCTCGGGACCTTCCAGCTCAACATCGGGGAGATCAACATCCACTTTGGGGCCTTTGATGTCGATGTCTGGGGCTTTCAGGTCACCCTCGAGTTTGGGAGCAGAAACATCGACATCCCCCTTCAGTTTGGGGCCTTTGAGGTTGAAGTCAACATCGGGCATGGAGATCTTGGGGGCCTTGAAATGCATCTCGGGCATCTTGAACTTGGGGCCTTTTATCTTCCCCTCTGGCAGCTCCACGTCCACCTCTGGGCCTTCAATGTCCACCTTGGGGCCGGACACATCCAGGTCTCCTTTTGGGAGGTTCACGTCCAGCTCTGGACCCTCTGCCTTGACCCCGGGCATCCCAAATTTGGGCATCTTGAACTTGGGGAACTTTATTTTTCCTTCTGGGCCATGAATGTCCACGTCTGGCACATCAACATCTACTTTGGGGCCTTTGATGTCCAGTTCAGGTCCTTTCAGGTCACCCTCCAGCTTTGGAAGGGACACATCCACATCACCCTTGACCTTGGGGCCTTTCAAGCTGAAGTCAACATCAGGCATGGAGAACTTGGGGGCCTTGATGTGCATTTCGGGCATCTTGAACTTGGGGCCTTTGATCTTCCCCTCGGGACCTTCCAGCTCAACATCGGGGAGGTCAACATCCACTTTGGGGCCTTTGATGTCCAGTTCAGGGCCCTTGAGGTCACCTTCCACCTTGGGAAGGGAAACATCGACATCGCCCTTGACCTTGGGGCCTTTGAGGTGCAGGTTGATGTCAGGCATGGAGATCTTGGGGGTCTTGAAATGCATCTCGGGCATCTTGAACTTGGGGCCTTTGATCTTCCCCTCTGGCAGCTCCACGTCCACGTCAGGCCCTTCAATGTCCACCTTGGGGCCAGACACATCCAGGTCTCCTTTTGGGAGGTTCACGTCCACCTCGGGGCCTTCTCCCTTCATCCCAAATTTGGGCATTTTGAACTTGGGCATCTTGAATTTTCCCTCAGGACCATGAATGTCCACGTCTGGTGCTTCAATGTCCACTTTGGGGCCCTTGATGTCGATTTCGGGGCCCTTCAGGTCACCCTCCAGCTTTGGAGCAGAAACATCGATGTCACCCTTGACTTTGGGGCCTTTGAGGTTGAAGTCAACGTCGGGCATGGAGATCTTGGGGGCCTTGATGTGCATCTCGGGCATCTTGAACTTGGGGCCTTTGATCTTCCCCTCGGGACACTCCAGCTCAACGTCGGGGAGGTCCACATTGACTTTGGGGCCTTTGATGTCGATGTCTGGGGCTTTCAGATCTCCCTCAAGCTTTGGAACAGAGACATCGACATCCCCCTTCAGTCTGGGGCCTTTGAGGCTGAGGTCGATGTCGGGCATGGAGATCTTGGGGGCCTTGATGTGCATCTCGGGCATCTTGAACTTGGGGCCCTTCAGTTTCCCCTCAGGGCACTCTAGGTCAACGTCGGGAAGGTTGACATCAACTTTGGGGCCCTTGATATCCAATTCAGGGCCCTTCAGGTCACCCTCCAGCTTTGGAGCTGAAACATCAACGTCCCCCTTCAGTTTGGGGCCCTTCAGGTTGAGATCGAAGTCGGGCATGGAGATCTTGGGGGCCTTGAAGTGCATCTCGGGCATCTTGAACTTGGGGCCTTTGATCTTCCCTTCTGGGCATTCCAGCTCCACATCGGGCACCTCGACATCAACTTTTGGACCTTTCAGTGACACCTCCGGCCCTTTCAGGTCCCCTTCAAGCTTTGGCACGGACACATCCACATCACCTTTGACCTTGGGGCCCTTGAGGTTCAGATCAAAGTCAGGCATGGAGATTTTGGGGGCCTTGAAGTGCATCTCGGGCATCTTGAACTTGGGGCCCTTCACCTTTCCCTCTGGGAGGTCAATGTCCACGTCGGGAGCTTCGATGTCCACTTTGGGACCTTTGATGTCCACGTCTGGGCCCTTCAGGTCACCTTCCAGTTTGGGGGCGGAAATGTCTACGTCCCCCTTCAGTTTGGGGCCCTTCAGGTTGAGGTCGATATCAGGCATGGAGATCTTGGGGGTTTTGAAGTGCATCTCGGGCATCTTGAACTTGGGGCCCTTCAGTTTCCCCTCAGGACACTCCAGGTCGACGTCGGGGAGATCCACATCGACTTTGGGGCCTTTGATGTCGACCTCTGGAGCCTTCAAATCTCCCTCGATTTTCGGGAGGGACACGTCCACGTCTCCCTTCACTTTGGGGCCCTTCAGGTTCAGATCAAAGTCGGGCATGGAGATCTTGGGGGCCTTGAAGTGCATCTCGGGCATCTTGAACTTGGGGCCTTTGATCTTCCCCTCGGGGCCCTCCAGTTCGATGTCAGGGACATCCACGTCCACTTTGGGTCCTTTCAACTCCACATCCGGCACTTTCACGTCACCTTCTATTTTTGGGGCAGACACGCCCACTTCTCCCTTCAGTTTGGGACCCTTCAGGTTCAAGTCGACATCAGGCAGAGAAAATTTCGGTGCCTTGATGTTCATCTCCGGCATCTTGATCTTGGGTCCCTTCCACTTCCCCTCTGGACCTTCAACGTCCACGTCAGGAACGTCCACATCCACCTTCGGACCTTTAATGTTCACATCCGGACCTTTCAGGTCGCCCTCCAATTTGGGGACGGAGACATCCACACCCCCCTTGACTTTGGGGCCTTTCAGGTTCAGGTCAATGTCAGGCATGGAGATCTTGGGGGCCTTGATGTTCATCTCGGGCACCTTGAACTTGGGGCCTTTGATCTTCCCCTCTGGGCCCTCAATGTCCACACTCGGCATCTCAATGTCCACCTTGGGGCCAGACACATCCAGGTCTCCTTTTGGGAGGCTCACATCCACCTCGGGACCTTCACCCTTCATCCCAAATTTGGGCATCTTGAACTTGGGCATCTTGAATTTTCCCTCAGGGCCGTGAATGTCCATGTCTGGCACATCAACGTCCACTTTGGGGCCCTTGATGTCGATTTCCATCCCAAATTTGGGCATCTTGAACTTGGGCATCTTGAATTTCCCCTCAGGGCCATGAATGTCCACGTCAGGTGCTTCAATGTCCACTTTGGGGCCCTTGAGGTCGATTTCGGGACCTTTCAGCTCACCCTCCATCTTGGGGACAGAGACATCGACATCTCCCTTCACTTTTGGACCCTTCAGGTTCAAATCAATGTCGGGCATGGAGATCTTGGGGGTCTTGAAATGCATCTCGGGCATCTTGAACTTGGGGCCTTTGATCTTCCCCTCTGGCAGCTCCACGTCCACCTCTGGCCCTTCAATGTCCACCTTGGGGCCGGACACATCCAGGTCTCCTTTTGGGAGGTTCACGTCCAGCTCTGGACCCTCTGCCTTGACCCCGGGCATCCAAAATTTGGGCATCTTGAACTTGGGCATCTTGAATTTCCCCTCAGGGCCGTGAATGTCCACGTCGGGTGCTTCAATGTCCACTTTGGGGCCTTTGATGTCCAGTTCAGGCCCCTTCAGCTCACCCTCCAGCTTTGGAAGGGACACGTCCACATCGCCCTTGACCTTGGGGCCCTTCAGGTTGATGTCCACGTCGGGCATGGAGATCTTCTGTGTCTTGATGTGCATCTCAGGCATCTTGAACTTGGGGCCTTTGATCTTCCCCTCGGGACCCTCCAAATCCACGCCGGGCACCTCGACGTCCACTTTCGGCCCTTTAATGTCCACTTCTGGAGCTTTCAACTCCCCTTCCACCTTGGGGAGGGACACGTCCACATCTCCCTTCACTTTGGGTCCCTTCAGGTTCAAATCCACGTCCGGCATCGAGATTTTGTGGGGTTTGATGTTCAGCTTCGGCATCCGGAATTTGGGACCTTTCCATTTCCCTTCCGCTCCTCCAACGTCCACCTCCGGCCCCTCAACGTCCACCTCTGGCCCAGAGATGTCCACCTCTCCTTTGGGCAGGGTCACGTCCACCTCGGGCCCCTCCATTTTGGGGCCGGACACGTTGAAATGAGGCAATTTCATTTTGGGCATTTTCAGTTTGGCCTCTGGACCTTCCAGGTGGACGTCCGGGACCTCCACGTCCACCTTCGGCCCCTTGATGTCACCTTCGACCTTGGGGAGGGACACGTCCACCTCTCCCTTCACTTTGTGTCCCTTCAGGTTCAAATCCACGTCCGGCATCGAGATTTTGGGGGATGTGATGTTGAGTTTCGGCATCTTGAATTTGGGGCCTTTCACCTTCCCTTCTGGACATTCCAAGTCCACCTCGGGCACGTCAACATCCAACTTGGGACCTTCCACTTCCAACCTGGGACCTTCCACATCCAACTTGGGACCTTTCACGTCGATTTTGGGACTTTCCACATCCAACTTGGGACCTTTCACGTCGATTTTGGGACTTTCCACATCCAACTTGGGACCTTTCACGTCGATTTTGGCACCTTCCACATCCACTTTGGGGCCTTTCACGTCGATTTTCGGGCCCTTCAGCCCAGAAATTCCGACATCCCCTTTGAGTTTCGGGGCCTTCAAGCCCAGATCCACATCTGGCATGGAGAGTTTTGGGGTCTGAACATTGAGTTCGGGCATTTTGAACTTGAGGCCTTTCCCTTTGACCTCCGGCCCCTCCACGTCCACGCTCGGGACGTCGATGTCCACCTTGGGGGCGGAAATGTCCACCTGCCCCTTGGGGAGCGTCACCTCCAGCTCGGGGCTCTCTCCCTTCACCCCAAATTTGGGCATTTTCATCTTGGGGAACCTCAGTTTACCCTCGGGCCCTTGGACGGCCAAATCTGGGGCTTCAACCTCAACTTTGGGGCCCTTGATGTCCAATCCGGGGGTCTTCAGCTCCCCTTCCAGTTTTGGGGTGGAAACGTCCAAATCTGCCTTGACTTTGGGCCCTTTGAGGTTCAGGTCGATGTCGGGCATGGAGATCTGGGGGGTTTTGATGCTCACCTCGGGCACCTTCACCTTGGGGCCCTTCAGCTCCACGCCGGGGACCTCGACGGCGACGCCGGGACCCGAAACGTCCACTCCGCCCTTGGGAAGGGCCACCTCGAGCTCGGGGCTCTCTGCCTTCACCCCAAATTTGGGCATTTTCATCTTGGGGAACCTCAGTTTGCCCTCGGGCCCTTGGACGTCCAAATCTGGGGCTTCAACCTCGACTTTGGGGCCTTTGATGTCCAGCTCGGGGCCCTTCAAACCCGGCACGGACACGTCCAGGTCGCCGCTGGCCTTGGCACCGTTCATGGTCAGGTCCACGTCCGGCATGGAAATTTTGGGGCCCTTGAGGTGCATTTGGGGCCCCTGGATGTCCAAACTTGGCGCCTCAACGTCCACCTTGGGGCCGGACACCTCCACGCCGCCCTTGGGGAGGTTCACGTCCAGCTCGGGACCTTCTGCCTTGACCCCGGGCATCCCAAATTTGGGCATTTTGAACTTGGGCATCTTGAATTTGCCCTCGGGGCCATGGACGTCCACTTCGGGTGCTTCAGTGTCCACTTTGGGGGCCTTGACGTCCACGCTCGGGACGCTGACGTCCACCTTGGGGCAGGAGACGTCCACCCCCGCTTTGGGAAGGGTCACATCAACACTGGGGCTCTCTCCCTTCACCCCAAATTTGGGCATTTTCAGCTTGGGGAACCTCAGTTTCCCCTCGGGCCCCTGGATCTCCATTTCTGGGCTCCCAACCTCGACTTTGGGGCCTTTGATGTCCAGTCCGGGGGTCTTCAGCTCCCCTTCCAGTTTTGGGGCAGAAACATCCAGATTTCCCTTCACTCCGGGCCCTTTCAGGCTCAGGTCGACGTCGGGCACGGAGATTTGGGGGGTCTTGACGCTCATCTCGGGCACCTTCACCGCGGGGCCCTTGATGTCCACTCCGGGCACCTCCACCCCAATTTGGGGCCCTTTAAGGTCCAGTTGGGGTCCCCTCAATTCGCCCCCCACGGTCGGCACGGACACGTCCACTCCTCCCTTCAAGCCAACGTCCATCTCCACGCCCTTCAGGCCACCCCCTGGCCCGGCCACGTCCACCTGGGGACCCTTGGGGCAGAGTCCTTTGATGTCCCCTTCCCCTCGGGGGCCCTTCAGGTTCAGGTTCACGTCCGACAGCGAAATTTGGGGCGTTTCCACCTTCTTGAAGGTGGGGCCTTTCCATTCTCCTTCCGGGGCCACCTCGGGCACGGCCACGCCCTTGGGGACATCCGCGGTGCCGCCGTCGCCCTGGGCGGTGAATTTGGGGAAGGTCAAGTGCGGGATTTTGATTTTCCCCTTGGCGCCGTCCGGGGCCGCCACCTCCACGCCGGGGACGTCCAGAGGAGGGGAGGGGACCTTGGTGGCACCTTTGACCGCCACGTCCACCTGCGGCACCGGGGCTTTGCCGGACGGGGACGAAACGTCCGGCGCGGGCGAGCAGGTGACGTCCATCCCCGTGCCCACCTGCGGGGCCGCGGCTTCGCCGCCGGCCCGGAAGCCGAATTTGGGGATTTTTAACGTCGGGATCTTGATCTTGCCCACGTCCACGGGCGGCGAGGAGACGCTGACCTCTCCCTGCGGACACGGAGCCACGCCGGACACGCGGAACGACCCGTCCGGCTCCCCAAACTGTCCGTTGGCCTCGACCCGGGGCGACCCCGGCAAGGCGCCGGAGCCCTTCCAGCCCGGCAGGGATTTTCCAGTTTCTCCAGCAGGAATTTGGCTCTGGGGCTCCGTTCTCAGGTGGAGCCCCTCGGGTGGGCCGGGCAGGATCCCCGGCCCCGCTCGGACATCGGCGCCGAGCTCCGGCGTGGGGACGCGGACGTCGGGGCCGCCGAGGCCGCCGAGGTCGCCGTCGTGGCTGGTGACGTCCACGGTGTAGGCGGTGAGCTTGCGGGTGACCGTGATGGTTCTGCTCTGCGTGGCCCCGGCTTCGGCCTCGGCGCCGTCCTCGGACTTGAGCCGCGGTTTGATTTTGGTGGTGTAGATGCGCTGGTACTCCTCGTCATCGCCGCTCTGCGGAGGAGAGGGTGAGCGCCGGACGGTGCTTCCTCCCCGTGCCCGTCCTCATCCTCATCCCTGTCCTTGTCCCCATCCTCATCCTCATCCTCATCCTCATCCCCGTCCTTGTCCCCATCCTCATCCTCATCCTCATCCCTGTCCTTGTCCCCATCCCCATCCTCATCCTCATCCTCATCCTCATCCCTGTCCTTGTCCCCATCCTCATCCTCATCCTCATCCTCATCCCCGTCCTTGTCCCCATCCTCATCCTCATCCTCATCCCCGTCCTTGTCCTCATCCCCATCCTCATCCTCATCCTCATCCCCATCCTTGTCCCCATCCCCAACCTCATCCTCATCTTCATCCTCATCCCCGTCCTCATCCTCATCCTCATCCCCGTCCTTGTCCCCATCCCCATCCTCATCCTCATCCCCGTCCTTGTCCCCATCCCCATCCTCATCCTCATCCCCGTCCTTGTCCCCATCCCCATCCTCATCCTCATCCCCGTCCTTGTCCCCATCCCCATCCTCATCCTCATCCCCGTCCTTGTCCCCATCCCCATCCTCATCCTCATCCCCGTCCTTGTCCCCATCCCCATCCTCATCCTCATCCCCGTCCTTGTCCCCATCCCCATCCTCATCCTCATCCCCGTCCTTGTCCCCATCCCCATCCTCATCCTCATCCCCGTCCTTGTCCCCATCCCCATCCTCATCCTCATCCCCGTCCTTGTCCCCATCCCCATCCTCATCCTCATCCCCGTCCTTGTCCCCATCCCCAACCTCATCCTCATCTTCATCCTCATCCCCGTCCTCATCCTCATCCTCATCCCCATCCTTGTCCCCATCCCCCACCTCATCCTCATCTTCATCTTCATCTTCATCCTCATCCCTGTCCTCATCCTCATCCCTGTCCTTGTCCTCATCCCAGTGATCCTCATCCCCCTCATCCCCCTCATCCCTCTCATCCTCCTCCTCCTCACCATCCTCATCCTTATCCTCGTCCCTCTCCTTGTCCTCATCCCCCTCATCCTCCTCCTCCCCACCATTCTCATCCTCATCCTCCCCCATCCTCACCCTCCTCACCTTCATCTTCATCCTCATCTTCATCCTCATTCCCATTCTCCTTCTCATCTCCTTCCTCATCTTCATCCTCATCCCCATTCTCCTCCTTCTCATCCCCTTCCTCATCCTCATCCTCCCCACCATTCTCGTCCTCATCCTCCCCCATCCTCATCTTCATCACCTTCATCTTCATCCTTATCTTCATCCTCCTTCTCCCCACCATTCTCGTCCTCATCCTCCCCCATCCTCATCCTCATCCTCATCTTCATCATCTCCATCCTTATCTTCATCCTCATCCTCATCCTCCTCCTCCCCACCATTCTCATCCTCATCCTCCCCCCTCCTCATCTTCATCTCCTTAATCTTTATCCCCATCCTCATCCTCGTCCCTGTCCTTGTCCTCATCCCCCTCATCCTCCTCCTCCCCACCATTCTCGTCCTCATCCTCCCCCATCCTCATCCTCATCCTCCTCCTCCCCACCCTTCTCATCCTCATCCTCCCCCCTCCTCATCTTCATCCCCTTCATCTCCATCCTTATCTTCATCTTCATCCTCATCCTCCTCCTCCCCACCCTTCTCATCCTCATCCTCCCCCCTCCTCATCTTCATCTCCTTAATCTTTATCCCCATCCTCATCCTCGTCCCTGTCCTTGTCCTCATCCCCCTCAACCTCCTCCTCCCCACCATTCTCATCCTCCTCCTCCCCCATCCTCATCTTCATCACCTTCATCTCCATCCTTATCTTCATCTTCACCCTCATCCTCCTCCTCCCCACCATTCTCGTCCTCATCCTCCCTCATCCTCATCCTCATCCTCATCCTCATCCTCATCCCCATCCTCCTCCTCCCCACCATCCTCATCCTCATCCTCCCTCCTCCTCATCTTCCTCTCCTTAACCTTCACCCTCATCCTCCTCCTCCCCACATCTTCCTCCCCCTCACCCACCCTCCTCCTCCTCGTCCTCCTCGCTCACCAGCACGACCTCGGGGCTGCCGGGCGCGAAGGCCAGCTGGCCGCAGCCGTGTCCGAGCTGGCCGCAGCCGTGTCCGGCCGTGGGCGAGCGGTCGCCGCGGCGCTGCAGCCGCAGCCCCAGCGTGTGCTGCCCCATGCTCTGCAGCAGCTGCGCCGCCTCCCCCGACTGCAGCTTGTCGAAGTAGACGGTGGCGCTGACGATCTGATCCCCTGGGGACGGGGGACAGCCGGGTCAGGGGTCTGCTGGGGAGGGGACACCGGGAGGGACCCCCCTGTCCCCGACCGGGGGGAGCAGAGGGGGCAGAGGCTCCCGAGGTGACACCAGAATGGACCAAAAATCTGATTTTGAACCCCAAAAGTCTCAGGGAAGAGGCCCCTGTCCCCATTGCGAGTGACCGTGGGGTGAGCAGAGGAGGCAGAAGCTCCTGAGGTGCCACCAAACTACCCCAAAAAACCAATTTTGAACCCCAAAACTCTCAGGGATGGACCCCTGTTCCCACTGTGAGTGACCACGGGGTCATCAGAGGAGGCAGAAGCTCCTGAGGTGCCACCAAACTACCCCAAAAAACCAATTTTGAACCCCAAAACTCTCAGGGATGGACACCCCTGTCCCTGCCTGAGTGACCACGGAGTTAGCAGAGGGGGCAGAAGCTCCTGAGGTGCCACCAAACTACCCCAAAAAACCAATTTTGAACCCCAAAAGTCTCAGGGATGGACACCCCTGTTCCCAGTGTGAGTGACCACGGGGTCATCAGAGGAGGCAGAAGCTCCCGAGGTGACACCAAACAACCCCGAAAAACCAGTTTTGAACCCCAAAACTCTCAGGGATGGACCCCTCTGTCCCCATTTTGAGTGACTGCGGGGTGAGCAGAGGGGGCAGAAGCTCCTGAGGTGCCACCAAACAACCCCGAAAAACCAGTTTTGAACCCCAAAACTCTCAGGGATGGACCCCTGTCCCCACTGTGATTGACCATGGGGTGATCAGAGGAGGCAGAAGCTCCTGAGGTGCCACCAAACAACCCCGAAAAACCAGTTTTGAACCCCAAAACTCTCAGGGATGGACCCCCCTGTCCCCATTGTGATTGACCATGGGGTGAGCAGAGGGGGCAGAAGCTCCTGAGGTGACACCAAAATGGACCAAAAATCCCATTTTGAACCCCAAAACTCTCAGGGATGGACCCCTGTCCCCACCATGAGTGGGTCACCACCCACAGGGACAGAGACAGAAGCTCCTGAGATGCCACCAGGATGTCCCCAGGTCCCCAAAACTTCAATTTTAACCCCCAAACCCTCAAGATTTGGCCCCCAAACTCTTGAACCACAGGGTCACCACCCACGGGGACAGAGGCAGAAGCTCCTGAGATGCCCCCAGGACGTCCCCAGGTGTCCCCAGAGCCCCCAGGTGTGCCCACCTTCCTTGACCACGCCCATGCGGGCGGCGGGCGAGTTCTGCTGCACGCGGCGGACGAAGACGCCGTCGTCGGTCTGGGCGATGGTGATGCCGTGCGAGCCGCTGCCCTGCCAGTTGGGCAGCAGGATCTCGCGCGTCTCCTCCTCCTCGCGCTCCATCTGCCCGCGACACGGGACACGGGATGTGGGACATGGCACACGGGGATGGACACGGAACATGGGATGTGGGGATGGACACGGGACACGGGACACGGGATGTGGGACATGGGACACGGATGGACACGGGATGTGGGACACGTGGGGATGGACACGGGACACGGATGGACACAGGATGTGGGACACGGGATGTGGGACACGGGATGTGGGACATGGGACACGGATGGACACGGGACATGGGACACGGGATGTGGGGATATGGAACACGGGACACGGGACGTGGGGATGGAACACGGGACACAGGATGTGGGGATGGAACACGGGACACGGGATGTGGGGATATGGGACACAGATGGACACAGGACACGGGACACACGGATGGACACGGGACACGGGATGTGGGACATGGGACACGGATGGACACGGGACATGGGACACGGGATGTGGGGATATGGAACACGGGACACGGGACGTGGGGATGGAACACGGGACACAGGATGTGGGGATGGAACACGGGACACGGGATGTGGGGATATGGGACACAGATGGACACAGGACACGGGACACACGGATGGACACGGGACACGGGATGTGGGACATGGGACACGGATGGACACGGGATGTGGGACACGGGATGTGGGCATGGGACACAGGACATGGGGATGGACACGGGACACGCAGATGGACACAGGACATGGGACATGGGGATGGACACGGGTCAGGGGTCAGCAGGGCTGGACACGGGGTCAGGGGTCAGCGGGGGGCTGGACACAGGACTGGGGGTTAAAGGGAGAGGCTGGACACCGGATTTGGGGTCAGGGTGGGGCCGGACACCGGGTGTGGGTCCGGCCAGGGACTGGACACGGGGTCTGGGGTCAGTGGGGCTGGAGGGGTGATCAGAGGAGGCAGAAGCTCCTGAGGTGCCACCAAACAACCCCGAAAAACCAGTTTTGAACCCCAAAACTCTCAGGGATGGACCCCCCTGTCCCCATTGTGATTGACCATGGGGTGAGCAGAGGGGGCAGAAGCTCCTGAGGTGACACCAAAATGGACCAAAAATCCCATTTTGAACCCCAAACTCTCAGGGATGGACCCCTGTCCCCACCATGAGTGGGTCACCACCCACAGGGACAGAGACAGAAGCTCCTGAGATGCCACCAGGATGTCCCCAGGTCCCCAAAACTTCAATTTTAACCCCCAAACCCTCAAGATTTGGCCCCCAAACTCTTGAACCACAGGGTCACCACCCACGGGGACAGAGGCAGAAGCTCCTGAGATGCCCCCAGGACGTCCCCAGGTGTCCCCAGAGCCCCCAGGTGTGCCCACCTTCCTTGACCACGCCCATGCGGGCGGCGGGCGAGTTCTGCTGCACGCGGCGGACGAAGACGCCGTCGTCGGTCTGGGCGATGGTGATGCCGTGCGAGCCGCTGCCCTGCCAGTTGGGCAGCAGGATCTCGCGCGTCTCCTCCTCCTCGCGCTCCATCTGCCCGCGACACGGGACACGGGATGTGGGACATGGGACACGGGTGGACACGGGATGTGGGACATGGGACACGGATGGACACAGGATGTGGGACACGGGATGTGGGACACGGGATGTGGGGATATGGGACACAGGACACGGGATGTGGGCATGGGACACGGACACACGGATGGACACGGGACACGGGACGTGGGAGATGGGACATGGGACACGGGACATGGAACACGGGATGTGGGACATGGGACACGGATGGACACGGGACATGGGACACGGGATGTGGGGATATGGAACACGGGACACGGGACGTGGGGATGGAACACGGGACACAGGATGTGGGGATGGAACACGGGACACGGGATGTGGGGATATGGGACACAGATGGACACAGGACACGGGACACACGGATGGACACGGGACACGGGATGTGGGACATGGGACACGGATGGACACGGGATGTGGGACACGGGATGTGGGCATGGGACACAGGACATGGGGATGGACACGGGACACGCAGATGGACACAGGACATGGGACATGGGGATGGACACGGGTCAGGGGTCAGCAGGGCTGGACACGGGGTCAGGGGTCAGCGGGGGGCTGGACACAGGACTGGGGGTTAAAGGGAGAGGCTGGACACCGGATTTGGGGTCAGGGTGGGGCCGGACACCGGGTGTGGGTCCGGCCAGGGACTGGACACGGGGTCTGGGGTCAGTGGGGCTGGACACGGGGTCTGGACACGGGGTCTGGGGTCAGTGGGGCTGGACACGGGGCTGGGGTCTGTGGGGCTGACACGGGGTCCGTGGGGCTGACACGGGGTCCGGGCTCCGGCCCCGCTGACCTTGGCGCGCTCCCGGTGCCGGTACCGGGCCGGATCCGCCCCGGGAATCCTCGGGCCTCGCTCGGGAACCTCGCGGCGGCTCCGGTGTCACCTCCCAGCCTGGGGGGACAGCGGGGGCACCGTGGGGCACGGGGAGACCCCCGGGACACCCCCGGGACAGCCCCGGGACACCCCCGGGACACCCCCGGGACACCCCCGGGACACCCCCGGGACACCCCCGGGACACCCCCGGGACACCCCCGGGACACCCCCGGGACACCCCCGGGACACCCCCGGGACACCCCCGGGACACCCCCGGGACAGGGGGACACCCCCGCGACACCCCCGGGACACGGGGACACCCCCGGGACACCCCCGGGACACGGGGACACCCCCGGGACAGCCCCGGGACACCCCCGGGACAATGGGGACACCCCCGGGACACCCCCGGGACACCCCCGGGACACCGGGGACACCCCCGGGACACCCCCGGGACACCCCGAGGACACGGGGACACTTCGGGGACCCCCCCCCTCCCCCCGGTATCCCCGGGGTCACCTCGGTTTTTTTGTTTTTTTGGGTTTTTTTCGGGATTTGCGGGAATTCCGGCGCTGGGAGGGGCCGGGCAGGGGGGGGCACCGTGGGAATGTCACCCGCCCCTTGTCCCCCTGTCCC